TCCTCTTCTTTGGAATCGAATGGCTGTGACTTGTTGTACATGAATGTGGGCTTGCTTGATGTGGACCTTGGTTTGCACCTCTTGTAGATGGGTGCTGGCAACTTGTGGCGTTCCGTCGAACTGTTGCTTGCTTTGAGCTGGTTCCATGGTGGAACTGTTCCTGTGGAACTGTGGGAATCCTCTGCAGAAGATATCCCGGTAGCACTGATGTGTGGCTACCCTTGCTTGAGTAAGCTTGCTCTGCCTCGATAGGCTTCTGTGGTCGCACTTGCAATCTCATGATTGATCTTCTGAGTCGATCCCGAGAGTTAAACTGAATCAATCTCATGGTCGCTGCTTGTGGTTCGATCGCTTCGTGTCATTCGATCTGGCATGATCGTTTCTTGTCAGTCTATCTGGTGTGTCAATCTGGATAGATCGATCGGAAAATTCAAAGGAAGGTTGGAAGAGGTTTGAGACTTTGGTTTTGGTGGGTACAACTTTATCAATACCACTCCTGCTGTCACTGTTGGCACACTCCTGTGAGCTAGCTGTGGCAGGACTTGTACTTCTTGTTGTAGCCAAAGCTGGCTTGGTTGGTTTGGACATTGGATGCAACTTGGGGTTGCTATGGAGCTGGAGGTGGTTCCTCTAAGATTCCTGAGAATCGATAGGACTCAATGTGTCTATCTGTGCTTGGGTAAGCAGGCTCCTGCCTTGGAAAGGCTTTGTAATCCAGTCTCGCGTCGTTGTGTCGACTGGCTTGCAATGAGTCCAAAACAAACCTTGGAAGTGGTTGCTCGGCATCCCGCTTGGTAACGAGAAGCTGAGCGGTGGAGACGAGACAATACGGACATTGTCATCATCGGAAAAGTCTTTGTGGCTGGCACTCCTTCTGAGAGTGGTGCCACTCCTGGAAGACTGGTGTCAGATGATACCATCACTTGGTGTACCTGCGGCTCAGACTGGGAAGTCCGGCTGCATTGACACTTGATGGGGCTGGAAGCCCTTCGTAGATGGAAGCTGGTTGAAGCTTCTGGAAGTCTTAGACTTGTGGGAAGTGATGCCCTATTGGAAGGTGCATGGAAGCTGGAAATGATGTAGCTTGGAAGTCACGGACTTGTTGGGTTCGACTGAACCTAGTTCTTGGATGGTCTCGATGTCTGAAGATTAATGAGGAAATGGTTGAGTTATTGTTTCCTCTTGTCATGGTTGTTCATGCTCATGTGAGACTCGTGACTGCTGGTGTCATCACTTGTGGTGACTGGTGCCGTCACTTGTTACACTTGGTACCGTCATTTGGTGTTGCCGTAGCCGAGACTGGGAAGTCAGGCTATAGCGACACTTGGGAGAACTGTTGTAGCAGCTGGAACTAGGAGGAAGTTCCTTGCCACAATGATACTTTGAGTTGGGGCTGGAAGCCCTTGGAAGTTTGGAAACTTGTAAGGAAGTATTCGGTAGTAGTTGTGGATGCTCCAACTTGATGCACTGTATGTTTTCTTGTTGACAGTAGCTAGCGTTAGCGGCTGCTATTAGTAGCGGTTGCTGTAGCTTCGGTCGTTTGACTGGATTGTCTTGGCTGGAGGAATTTGCAAAATTCGCAAATTCCCTCTCTGTTGCCGATGGTTGCAGCTCGTTCGTTCCGCAGTTGCCTGTTGGCTTCTGCTGTTGTCCGTAGCAGTAGCGACTGTTGTCGCCGTTCTGCTTGTTCGTGTTGCTGCCGTATAGCGGTAGCAGCTTCAGCGGTCGTCGTTCGATCCAATTGCTTCAGCCGGCTTTTTCTTTCAATTTTGGTTGAATGCGCCGATGGATGCAACTCAATTCCTGTTGCATTTGAGGACTTGCACTCTTCAGGGCCTGTCAGTGACAGTATAGTAGCCCACTCCGTGTATGACAGTCCTTCTGTAGGACCTGTCATTGCCGTGTAATCGACCTGGCAATTTGGCTTGTTTGTGCTCGGAATTCGTCTTCCGTCGCACCTCTCCTCTATCAGCTCTGTTCGAGGGCTTGATAGTGAGGTTGGAGGAACTCCCGCTGAAGTACCTCTGTGGTTCCTATTGGAAATTGTTATCTCATTCCTCTTCCGGTTGACACAACTTGTCGTTCGTGTCGCTCCTGTTGGCTTGCACGGTACAAATCGTGGCAACACTCCTGGTGTTTGACACTCGTCGTGTCACTCTTGTACGCTCGTACCTTGTACGACCACTTGGTTCCGTAGCAGCCTTCGCTTCGGCTAACCGGAAACCTTGTTCTTCTCTTCGTGGTAGCTTGCTAGATAGCTTGGGCCACAACTCTTGCACTATGTCGTGCGATGAGTCTTTTCGTAGTTTGTTTTCGTACCTGCACTTAGCAGACATACGATGGCTGTGTTCCGCAGCTCGAAGTCTCGACGTTGTTTCGCTCACTCATGTGAGCTTGGCGTCTTCGTGGCAACCGTTTTTTTTGCCACTCTTGCTCACTCCTGTGAGCTTGCTTCCTTGATCCGGAGCTGGCTCCTGTGGCTGAGCTGATCTTGCTTGATCGACGTCCACGGTGGCCCTGTTCCAATTTCCCACGAAATCTCCATCAACGAGCACATCAAACGAACAAGACTTTGGGTTAATGAATGAACTCACGGTCCTTGGTATTCACCAGGTACCTGCCGATCCGTTTGACTGCTGCAGCATGGGACTGCTTCGGCTCTGCAGAAAACCGAGCACAAGCAAGATCAGCTCAGCCACAGGAGCCAGCTCCGGATCAAGGAAGCAAGCTCACAGGAGTGAGCAAGAGTGGCAACAAAAACGGTTGCCACGAAGACGCCAAGCTCACAGGAGTGAGCGAAACAACGTCGAGACTTCGAGCTGTGGAACACAGCCATCTAGAGTGTTACTAGCAAACAACACTATTTCCAAGAAGTGATCTTTCTCCATGTTTTCTGGGATTGATTCAGCTTCAAAGGATATAATGAAGGGGGTGACCATATAGATCAGTTAAACTCCCCATGTATGTAACTAGAGAATAGATATAGATATCCCCCATAAACTAGATTGGGATAAACGAATAATTTGTATTGAGGTGTCTGTAAATACAACCTCCAACACGCGGGAGACTATAAAGTGTGATAGTGTAGGTTGCGGTAGCAATCCTACCTACTCCACGATCCAAAACCGGAACGCGTGGAAGATTCGTCTAGCATTGATCTAGTAGCGTGGAAGTACTCCACGCTGGCTAAATATCTAGCGCGATGTTTCATCACTGACCTAGTATGACTAGAGCGGTCATTGAAAACCCTGTCTCAATGACTATTCACGAGAGACTCAGTCATGAGTCGAACTCAAACCCTATCTAGGATCGAGTCGCGAATAAGGCTAAGAGCCGTGTATTGCACTGCAGTGAAGGGATCGAAGTCGTGTTCATCCATCTTCTTCACCAGGATCGGGGAATTCCATGACAGATAATGTCAATGAATTCGTCTTGGTTCACACCTTGGTTGACTCCAAAAGGTGGTAGACGAGGAAGTTCATCGGTGTTCATCCGAGTGAGGTTGTTGACATAAGCGCGAGTAGACATCTCGCTGGGCTTACGCATCTTACGGCGCATGAAGCTTTTCTGCTTTTCAAGAGCCTTGTAGGGACAGACCGCTTCAATGCAGGAGTTGATTCTCACGGTGATGTCGCCGTCGTCCAAAGCAGGTTCTGCTGCTCCGTTCCACGCAGTCTGGACACGGATTTGGAATGCAGCTTCGGTTTCTCCAGAAGTCACGTCGCGTGGAGGAATTGCATTGACTGCAATTTGGCGAAGGGTATTCCATCGCATGGTACGACTTCCTGCTGTACCAGCTTCGTAGGCACTCTTGGCAGAGCTCGAAGTCATCTCCTTGAGGAGATTATGTTTGTCATTGGCGTCAGCGATGTTGAGTCCAACGAAGACCTTCTCCATATGCGTAGCCCACTTGATGGTTTGGCGTGGAGTCTCAGAGCCATTGATGACCTGGACCTTGAAGGTGTACTTGGCACTGTCCGCGTCTGTTGGAATAGTGCGAGGTTTGTAAGTGGTAGCGCGAGAATCATCGATTTCGGCTTCTTCGTCATCGTCAATGAGAGGAAGGATTGGTTTGTCGCGCAGCTTTTTCTCAAAGCTGTAGAACACTTGTTTGGCAATCTTCATGGTGAAGAATAGGTTGAAGGTAGCTGAAAGCTATTGTGTTTGTTAACAAAATGCACTACGCTAAAAGCTAGTGTAAAGATCTTTCGAGTGTTTTGAGTTTGAGAGAATGAAACTGATGAGAGAGATTAGAAAGCTATGAAAACTAATCAACGAGAGAGATCACAATCAAAGGATCTTAGATCTGAACTCCCGCTGGAGACTATAAAGTGTGATAGTGTAGGTTGCGATAGCAATCCTACCTAGTCCACGATCCAAAACTGGAACGCATGGAAGATTCGTCTAGCATTGATCTAGTAGCGTGGAAGTACTCCACGCTGGCTAAATATCTAGCGCGATGTTTCATCACTGACCTAGTATGACTAGAGCGGTCATTGAGAACCCTGTCTCAATGACTATTCACGAGAGGCTCAGTCATGAGTCGAACTCAAACCCTATCTAGGATCGAGTCACGAATAAGGCTAAGAGCCATGTATTGCATTAGCATCGGCAGACATACTACTGAGGCTGAGATTGTCACTTTCTCCCCTTGTTCGTATGGCATCATCAAGAGGGCGAACAACAGACTCTGGAATCCTAGCTAGATGGCATACCGAACACAAACGAGCATTGATGGTGTTGTTGTTCGTTGCAAGCCATGGAACGAGGACCATACTTGTTGGCAGCGGTGTAGACAGCAATAGTCTTGGGCGGAAGCGGGAGCCGAAATTAGATTGTTGCTGCTAGCGAATTTGTTGGCCGTGACATTGATGTTCATTGCTGACTTCGCCTCGCGGTTGCAAAACAATTTGTTGAGCTGTACATGGCCAGCGTAATTGCTCGCTTTAAAGGTAGCATTAGCGAATTTCTCTTCGTCGTTCCCATCATTGTTGAGTTCTTCACTGTGAGTTTTTGTTTGGAACGAAGGCCGATGGAGGAGTAGCAGCGTAGATGAGACTGTAATTGTTGCTTTTGCGTTTGGCGGAAGAAGTCTCTTCAGCGTAGCTGCCGATGTCTCCGCCATGGTTAGTTGTGACGGTCGTTGCAACTGGAGTAGGTGCAGCGTTTCCATTGTCGTTCTCCAGCGTGGGAATGAAGCGGTCGGCAATTGACTCGAAGCGTGATTTTGGTGAAGTAGTGACAACGTGGAAATTGGCCAGTAGAGTGCCGTCACCGTTACTGCTAATGGTATTGTCAATCTCGAAGCTTGTTCCATTGATAGAAGCCTCGAGCGTGAATTCCTCGTCATTGTACTTTGCCAAGAAATTGACGTTGCTCACTTCCATGACAAGAACGAGAATTTGTCGTCTTCAATCTCCACAAGAGGCTCATTGTCAATGTTACAATTCTGCGTGGACACGTCGTCTCCATCGACAGTTATTTCCATCGCGGACTTGGACATCAACGACTCTTCTTCATTTTAGGAATCGTAGTAGTAGGGCTTTCACGGTAGTTGGCTCATTTGTCGATCAACATCAATTTCACCGAAGCCGAGTATTTCTTGTATGAACATTACTCGGATTCTCTCCTCATTTTCTTCGACTCTTCCTCATTGTAGGAATCGTAGTAGTAGGGCTTTCACGGTGGTTGACTCATTTGTCGCTCAACATTATTTTCACCGAAGCCGAATATTTCTTGTATGGACATTACTCGGATTCTCTCCTTGTTTTCTTCGAAATCAAGAAAGTATGGATCGAGTTGGACTCCACTGTGGGATTGATTATCATCATCAAAGGAAAGGCAGTGGCCATCCACTGTCAAGGTGAAGGAAAACTTGGCCGTCATGGTCAATGGTGGTGAATTGATGTTATACTGGACACACATACGGCAAACGAGGGCTGAAGAAGATACTGCTGGTCGTTGTCGAAATGTTTGTTGCTCTTATTATCGGTCTCAGTATGAGCATGTCATCCAACGGCACTTTATTGGTGACACTGTCATTGTCGTTTTGACGGAAATTGGATTCTCTAAAGGTTGCCATTTCGGGCGCAATAAGGTTGGCTTTGGTTGTGACAAGCGTCGTAGCATTGGCTAAAGAAATGCTACCGTTGTCAGATGATATGAGCTGACCAGAATCTCCCCTTATTCGGGTGGCAAAAGATGGCATACCGAGCACATTGTCAACCGTTGTCGGCGCTTCATCACAGTTGTCTCTAATGTGCATCTTTTATGGTAACCGGATCAATGGTAGGATCTGCCGATGCGAAAATTATTGGCTTTCCACAGTCGTAGCTAGAATGGTTCTTTCGTGCTATCAGCGGTGATGATGAGGCCGGCACGGCTGTCGTGGCGAGTGAATTTGTCAGCTGTGGCAGCGATGCCATATATAGTGGGCTTCAGAGATATTGGTTTTGGCAGATGCAGCCAGTAAGTACTGAGGCTGAGCTTGGCACAATTCTCCTTGTTCGTATGGCGTCGCCAAGAGGGCGAACAGACCTAGCAATACTAGATGGCATACCGATCACAAATCAAGCAAGCGAGGACTGATGGTTTGTTGCAGGCTATGGAACCAGGACTATACTTGTCGGCAAAGGTTGGATTGTCTGGCTTGGAGGACAAACATTGGGTTGGTTGATTGGTACATCTGCAGAGTGGTTGTTGGACTTCTGCAGGATGGCATTGTATCGGCAGCGTAGATGCTGTCTGTCGAAATTATTGTTGCTCTTGCTGTCAGCAATTGACTCAGTCTCTAGAATGCATTTCTTATCGTTGATTGCAGCAAGCGTTGCACTGGGACCAGCTGCTCAATGAGACCAAAGGATTTGTTGTCATTGTCGTTTTCTTGGTTGGTTGCGTTGGTAATTGCAGTAATGCAGTAGTAGTAGCAGCAGGTTCCTTGTCAATTTCCAGCGTGGAATTGTCGCGTTCACAATGTTGTTGGAAAAGGCATCGGTAAGCGGCAGGATTTGGACCGGAAGAGTAGCACCACTGTCATTGTCGTGTCGTCTGCTGTCAATCTCCAACGTAGAGGACGTCGAAATCGTTGTTGTGACTGTAACATCGTATGCTCATTGTCGTGTTCTTGCTGTTGAAGTTGTCGGGAGAAAGGACAGTGCAACAGTCTTCAGCGTGGACTTGAATTCCTATAAAGCTTTGTCGGGCTCAATAGTGAAACGAAAACCAAGTTGGGTGGAACTTCTCGAACCTGCCTTCTGATCGGAGATCGACTGTTGTGAGACCAACTTCCCTGGGCACCGATGAGACGTGAACCCAGAGGGAAGTTTCGTACAACACTTCAGTCGCCCTCCTCTCAAAAGAAATGGTATCTTGTAAGCCTCTTGTTCCCACTTGCCGTTGAGATGGTTGCTGCTGCTTGTTGTTGCCACTTCCTTGCCTCTTGTTGTTGCCAGTTCTGTCCCAGTGATCCGATGCTGCTATCAACGCAGCAGCGGTAAAATGCCGCGGTCAACCGCAGACCAAGCCAAATCGACTCTGGGATGGAAGAGACAACCAAGGCTACAAAAGGATAGTCACTCTCTCCTTGTCTCTTCAACATAACAACCTTCGACACTCTACAACAAGAGGAGCAACCTTGAAACCGAAGGCTCCTTCCAACAAAATTATGTCTCCCCAGCAAAACTCAGTTTTGGGATGACACTGTAGGTCTCAGTACAATTTCTACTGGCAAAAGTGTTCAACCACTGGCCGCCGTGTTGGACTAAAATCGCCAACTACAGAGTTGGCCTGTTGCGGATTTTGTTGTTTGGTGTGTCAATCAATCAATCAATGGTTGGTCCTCGTTTTAGGGTTACATGCTAACCATACCGTACCGGACCGTCCAACGGTTTTCACTCAGCCTCTAAAACAAAAACTGAAATTTCCACGCCTGAGCACCGTTTGAAACATGCCCTTAAACATGCCCCTAAACATGCCCTTAAACATGCCCTTAAACATGCCCTTATGTAAACATGTCCTTAAAACATACCCTTAATGCCTCGAAACATGCTCTTAAGCCTTCATTGAAACATGCAATACACGGCTCTTAGCCTTATTCGCGACTCGATCCTAGATAGGGTTTGAGTTCGACTCATGACTGAGTCTTTCGTGAATAGTCATTGAGACAGGGCTCTCATGACCGCTAGTCATATATACTAGGTCGATGGTGAAACATCGCGCTAGATATTTAGCTGGCGTGGAGAGATTCCACGCTACTAGATAATGCTAGACGAATCTTCCACGCGTTCCGTTTTTGGATCGTGGAGTGAGTAGGATGCTACCGCAACCTACTCTATCACACTCTACAGTCTCCCGCGGGAGTGAGTATCCATCGTTCTGAACAGACGTGGGTTACCCAGTATCCATGACCGGTCGTCATGGACAAGAGAACGTGAATCCCGCGTAGAGTCGAGAAGACTCTCCGGGATGAACATGGACTTCGTCGCAAGTCACGCGCGTCAATCGTGACAAGCTCACCACATCCGTTTCAAAGCAAACCGGAAATACATCAAGGAACGTCGCCAACGACTTATCCAGAAAAACACCGATAAGAGAACACGGCACGTGTCCCTCATCAACACCAATGTCAACGACACTATGATGATTCATCAGTATTCGAACCGTTAATACGGTCAGCCAACACACAAGGTCCTTACCACACAAGACCGAGTCAATAACAATGGCACTGTACGGCTCCGACATACTACCCCAATAGCGGCCACAGTCTACCAGACTTGGAACATAAGGTATTTACACCCATACAAGGCCTGATCCCCTTGTAGGATTGCCATCGTGCGACGCACATGTCTACATCCAATCTCCGGAGAGTGCCCCGCACTTTAATTCATATGTTCTCCTTGTCCGACTGATGTCGTGCCTTCCGTGACCCTTGTCAGGGGCGAGGTGAAGACGAAACCACTTTCCAAGCACGTTTCCAGGCTGCCTGGAACGGAGCAGTTCAGCCTGCTTTGGACGATGCTGACATTACGTTTGGGCATAAATGCCTGTATCGAGCGGTCTGTCCCTACAAAGGCTCTTGAAAAGCAGAAACGCTTATGCGCCGCAAGATGCGTAAGCCCCTGATATGTCTACTCGGGCTTATGTCAACAACCTCAGTCCGATGAACACCGATGAACTTCCTCGTCTACCACCTTTTTGGACCCAAACCAAACATTGAACCATGACGAAGTCATTGACATTGTTTGTTTTTTCATGGAATTCCACGCTGGTGGATGAGAAGATGGACGAACACGACTTCGATCCTTCTCAGCTCCTATCGGAGAAACCATTGGATTCTGCAACGCATGGAATCCTCCGAAGACTTTGACAAGGGCGTGATGCCAAGCAAGCTCTGCGAAGAAGACAACAGCAAGAAGTACAAGTCTACTCCAACAACGACCACTCTTCCAAGAACGAAGAGAAATGGTGCGACTACCACGAGTCCAGCACTCACAACACTGTGACTGCATGACTTTGAGAAGCTCAAGGCCAAGTCTCAGTCTCGTCTGACAACGATAACAAGCCACGTACAACAAGAACAAGACTTGGAACGCAAGTCCGAGACGCAAGCTACACCAGAAGAAACTCTCTGTCCTCATGAAGAAGGTTTCCAACGCTGCGCGTCAAGGCTGATCGCAAGAAGAAAACGAATGCAACCATGTTGCCAAGCGCAAGCTGACAACTCCGACAACGAGGACGACTCCTCTGTTGGATCCATCAACATGATGGACAAGAATATGGCCGCTGTCGACAAGGCCTTGCCGAATTCGACTTCAATCATTCAGATGGGAGATCTCCGTCTGAGGATTAGGCCAGGATGATGATTCAACGGAACCATGTCCGATTTCTCATACCTAAGTGATGAAGATATCTCACTAAATAGTAAACAAGATTTGTTTGCAACTAACGAAGTCTACGGCAAATTAGATAAATTGCCTAGAAACCTCAACTAGACCTGACATCTGTTCAGCATCGTTGACTTCGTCCATGGCCAATCAACTCATCAACGTCACACGACAAGAGACCTAAACTATCGTCTATGTTAGATTTAACAGACGAGCGAAAAGGAAACGAAACCCGTTACACTCTGTTGCTTACTGGATACAGAAGCATCCGGAACTTTAATTGCTCAAACTCATGCTAAGAGTTTACTCATGAAGAATATGGGGGCGTCCAAACATTGCGGACTGCTTCTATGAAGGAATTGAGACCCGCACGAAGGTAAGGGCACACTCGCGTTCCTGAGTTCCACGATGGTAGAATTATCAAGTGGATTTACACGTCACCAAGAACTTGGGGGCGCAAGACGTGATCATAGGTCAAGACACTCTCTGCGATCTAAGAATCAAGTTTGATTTCACTACCATGTCATTGGGTGGAACCATGCATTTTTCCCGGCGAAAGAGAGCAACACCATAGAAAGGAGAACTTCTCCATTCCGATTCTGCAGCTGTCAGCGACAATGCAAATAGTCTCAAGAAGATTCTTGTACGACATAACGAACAAATAGGCTTAAGGCAGATATGCCAGAGTCGAAATCCGTTAAACAAGGAAGGAGCAAGAACTGCCTCACGCCTTTTCAACCAAGTGCTTCGACCAGTCGAGGATACTTGGGAGAGTTGCGAAGGGACGACTACGAAGTAGAACTTCGTCCCGACGTTAAATCCTATTACACTAGGGCTCACCCTACTCCACGGTCCATACCAACACTCTTAAGAAGGAGGTTGAACGTCTCTGCGAAACAGGGGCACTCAAGAAGGTGAATCGTTCCAAGTGGGCGGCACCAACTTTTCGTTCCAAGAAAGAGGTCTGCACGATTATCTCGGCTTTTCGGGAACCGAACAAACGGATCAAGCGGAAGCCTTATCCTATCCCAAAGATACAGGACATGCTCTTGAACCAGATGGATTCAAGTGCCTACCAGTCTAGACCTGAACACGGGACAATACCACATCGAGCTGTCACCTCACTCGAACAACACTATGCCATTGCACTCCCGAAGGGAAAGCACGAGTACCAGAGGTTGCCAATGGGCCTATGTAATAGTCCCGACATCTTCCAAAGGAAGATGAAAGCACGCATGCACGACTTAGAAAATGTCCGTGCATACTAGATGATCAACTCATCCTAACGGACGTCGATCTCGCAGATCGCGTTGAACAGTAGGATGACCTTTCCCCAAAGACTCCAAGAAGTCGGGATTGAAATCAACACTACCAAGGCCTTCCTCGATAGGAAAAACTGGAGTATCCAGACAATTGGACTTCTCGAGAAGGAACCAACTCTTAACTAAAACGATAACAGATGCGATCCAGCTACGCTCCTCCTACAACAGAAGTAACTTCGTAGATTCATTGGACCAATGAACTACCAAGGGCTGCTCCAGACAGCAGACGAAGTAACCATCGTTCTGAACAGACGTGGGTTACCCAGGATCCATGACGGTCGTCATGGACAGAGAACGTGAGTCCCGCGTAGAGGTCGAGAAGACTCTCGGGATGAACATGGACTTCGTCGCAAGTTCACGCGCGTCAATCGTGACAAGCTTCACCACATCCGTTTCAAAGCAAACCGGAAATACATCAAGGAACGTCGCCAACGACTTATCCAGAAAAACACCGATAAGGAGAACACGGCACGTGTCCCTCATCAACACCATGTCAACGACACTATGATGATTCATCAGTATCAGAACCGTTAATACGGTCAGCAACACACAAGGTCCTTACCACACAGACCGAGTCAATAACAATGGCACTGTACGGCTCCGACATACTACCGCCAATAGCGGCACAGTCTACCAGACTTGGAACATAAGGTATTTACACCCATACAAGGCCTGATCCCCTTGTAGGATTGCCATCGTGCGACGCACAATGCTACATCCAATCATGAGATGCCCCGCACTTTAATTCATATGTTCTCCTTGTCCGACTGATGTCGTGCCTTCCGTGACCCTTGTCAGGGGCGAATGCAATACACGGCTCTTAGCCTTATTCGCGACTCGATCCTAGATAGGTTTGAGTTCGACTCATGACTGAGTCTTTCGTGAATTGTCATTGAGACAGGGTCTCATGACCGCTAGTCATACTAGGTCGATGGTGAACATCGCGCTAGATATTTAGCTGGCGTGGAGAGATTCCACGCTACTAGATAAATGCTAGACGAATCTTCACGCGTTCCGTTTTTGGATCGTGGAGTGAGTAGGATCGCTACCGCAACCTACTCTATCACACTCTACAGTCTCCCGCGGGAGTTCAGATCTACGATCCTTTGATTGTGGATCTCTCTCGTTGATTAGTTTTCATAGCTTTCTAATCCTCTCATAACTTTCATTCTCTCAAACTCAAAACACTCGAAAGATCTTTACACTAGCTTTTAGCGTAGTGCAAACACCATAGAACATGCCCTTATCACGAATGAACATGCCCTTAAAACATGCCCTTAAATCTGAAACATACCTTTAAATAAACATGCCCTTAAAACATGCCCTTAGAATGAGAACCAGTCTTGGTCGTTTTAAGTCTGAATGAAAACCATCGGACAGTCCTGTACTCATCATAGTACAGTAAAAGGTAGATTATACCATTACACAGTACCGGCCAGATGTAACCCAACTCCACTCCTCATCCATACCGACCCGACTCCTCCGCTGGCTAAGAGGGTTGCTTGGTAGCTCTAGCAGTAATGCTAACTGCATAGCTGATGCTCTTAGCAGGAGGAGCATTTGGGATGAACTGGGCATTGAGCTGGGAAAGGAGCAGCTGCCCAGGAGAAATGCTATAGAGATGTCACCGACTGGGAAGCTGAGGCTATCTAGCTGGGCTCAGGCTAGCAGGGGAGGTACAACCAGGACCGGGGCTGGAACTAGTAGGTCGGGGGAAGGAGCTAGGAAAACTGCTAGCGAGCCGCCATGTCAGTAGCTGGGAGGGTCGTGCAATCCACTGTCATGCCTTTTTGCTATTTCTGTTTCCGTAGTTGGCGCCACCGGAGGCATCTTGTTCTGACAGACCAACCCCAGAGTAAAAGATGGGTTGGCGATTTTCCGGTCAAGGTAGCGGTGTGGTACCGGTGGTACCATTAGCCGTAACTGCCACCAAGTGGAACTCCCCATGCTCAACAGGGCACATCCCTACCAAGCTCTTAGCAAGACAAGAGAAATGCAAAAATGTTAGCCAATCTAAAATGGTACATGCTGGAGAGCTGCTGGAAGTTGGATACCCAAGAATACCCACAAGAAGCTTTGTAGCTGCTGTAGCAGCCACCGTGTCAAAGCAGAGCGTTAGCTACATAGTTGCCTTCAGCAATCTAATAGCATGAATACCGATACTGATAGCTACCATCGATACTGTTTCCAAAAGCAAAAGACAAGACTTGAAGGAGAGCCCGGTGAAGCGCACGAGCAGTACTACGGGTATCGCTGAGGAACCATCTATGTATGCACGCAAGACAGTAATCCCGATACTGGAGATAGGTACCAATCTCCTCTACCTACTCTACTTGGCTCTTTTTGGTTGCAAATACAACCTCGTCGCCACAGCAGCAGACTTGAAAGTCCTGGTTGCACTCGTCACAGGTCCCTTTGAAGCAGTTTGTAGGGAACACTGGACAGCAACCTGCCTTTGTGGCACAATCAGGACATGTCACAGCGTCACCAGCGCGTAGCTTCTTTGGGCACTGCCATGCTGATGGGGATTGGTCCCATTGCGGAGGATCACCATGAGAAACGCAGTGATAGCCATCGCAATGACGACAGTAATAGGCTGGAGTGCACCCATCCATGCAAAAGCATTTGTCACATACTGTGCACTGAGTCAGGTCCTTACAAGCGTTGCAAAAGCTTTGTTCGCAGGCGTGACAGAAGGAGTGTTGTGGGCAATCCTCGCAGAACTCTCCATGACAGATCCCACAGCTGACACGGAGACTGCTGCAGTCTCCACAGAGAGTCTTGGAACAAGCACGGCAGGACGAGTGCTCTTGGCAAGGCCCACAAATTTTTACTCTGCAGAATTCACATTCCAATGGGGGGCTGCATGAACTCCTGCAGAAGGACTTTTGACAAACGCCACAAGAGAAGCCTCCTTTACAACAACCCCCACAAAACTCCCCGACACATGTCTCACATGTAAGGAGGGAACTGCAGCCACGACAAACTTTCTCTCCACAAGCCTGACAAACGAACGTCTCCTTGCAATCATTGCAATACCAGTATCGACAGTCTTTACAGTAGAAATGGTCTTGGCACTCGCGACAAAACCACGTGCCACACGCCTTGCAGGTGGGTTGGTGTCGTGATCCCATGCAATCACAGCTGCATTCTTGGCAAAAGGAGTGTTGGCAGCCGTCACAGTAAAAGAAATCAGTTCGCTGCTTGCACTGTATGTCATGTCCCAGCGGACTCTTGCACTGATGGCAATTGGAAATGTCGCAACAATCGGGACAAAAGAGGTCATCACAAACTTCACAGTAATGAAGGTTTTCTTCCTCCCCGGCACCGTCACACCGCGGGTGACAAAACTCTTCGTCACAGCCTTCACAATTAAAGATGGATTCATCGCATTCATTGCAGCTTCGAGCGGGGCATTTGGAGCATTGTCGGATCCAAACATCATCACCCCCCTCTTGACTACAATTGGGGCACCTTTCGCGATTGAAGAGTGTCCCCTCCAAACAATCGGGGCATTCTGGTTGTTGGAAGGAATTACATGTATGCTGGTCCATTTTTCCGGATTGTTTTTCTTTGTCATGGCTATTGCTTGTTGGAGGGCTATTGCTGGTTTCTTCTTCTTGTGTGCTGTTGTTGTTGTTTTCAATTTCTATTTGCTTCCAAAGTTCTTCCTGAGAGACCCCAACCTCTTCATCATCATCACCACCACTATGGGCCTCTTTGAATTCCTTCCAGAGCCCATCCTGTGGCACTAGCTTGCGACCGTGTTCAATGCAATAGTATTGTTCCAGGCAAAAGGCATCCGCAATTGGCTTGACCGTCATGCATCGGATGATGGATTTGTAATCCAAAAAGGGAAAAATATTTTCGGAAACCACTTCCTTCGAAAGACCAGATGAAAGCAAGGCGCTCGCTCCATGACTACCGGTATTACTTGCAACAGTACTCATTGTTGTGGCGCTGCTTGGATTACTAGTACGTGTAGCAGCGGAAGCCGCGGCGCCAGCAGAAGGAAGAGGATCTGTCATGGTCGCTGTCTATTTGTGTTGAAGAGACGTCAAAATCGTCATTTATATACCGGGCAGACCCCGGTGATCTCTGACCCCGTTTATTGTGGTGGTGGTGGGTTTGGTTGGTTGGTTATCCTTAGGGTTAGAGATTTACTTCAACCCCCTCTTTCTCGCGCATTCTCATAATAATCATACGGTAGCAACGGATCCTAATATTTTCCTCACGATGCCCACCTCTAAACTCCCGTAAGCTACCACGCCACTTTCTCAGATTTAAAAATCTAATGACTCACGTTGCACACCTCTAAACTCCCGTAAGCTACCACACCACTTTCTCAGATGGAAAAATCTATCGACTGGCCTTAAACACCTCTAAACTCTTGTAAGCTACCATGCCTCTTTCTCAGATGGAAAAATCTTACATCTCACGTTGCACACCTCTAAACTCCTGTAAGCTACCACACCACTTTCTCAGACGGAAAAATCTTACGTCTCACGTTGCACCCCTCTAAACTCTCATAAGCTACCACGCCATTTTCTCAGATGGAAAAATCTAACGTCTCATGTTGCACACCTCTAAACTCCTGTAAGCTACCACGCCACTTTCTCAGACGGAAAAATCTAATGACACTACCTTCAGCCAAACTTTAACAATATTATTATGCCGGCCCATCTTTTAATTCAGCTCGCCCGGTATATCTATTACACCTCCGGTGTCCTTTTTCGTTCCTTTTGTACATGTAGCTCTGCTGTCTTCTACTCTTTTTTGGGCTTGGATCTTTCGACGTCCGATCTTCCACCATGACACTCTCACATTCATGTCCACCGTTCGGTAAAGGTACATGTAGCTGGAACCAAGCTAGAATAGTGAAACTCTCCATGCTCAACAGGGCACATCCCTACCAAGCACTTAGCAAGACAAACTCGTTATTCGTTGGCGTTATCAGGTGCTCCTTCCTATTAGCAATTCTTCTGATACCTACCACTACCATGGCAACCGATCCACCTGTACCACCCGAATGGACCGTCCTCTACCACGCTCCAGGCAAATTCAAGGGCCGAGGAGAATTCCTGCGACTCATGCTAGAAGACAAGGGCGTGTCCTACGTCAACACGGACGAAAATCTCTACGGCCCTGACGGGATGATGGATGGATTCCGTGGTTCTCATGAAGCCATTCAAAAGAACACCCTCTCCTTTCCCCTCTTGTTCCCACCGGCCATTTGGCATCGACCTCGAGATGGAGGAGAAGAAGTCTTGATTAATCAATCGGCAGCTTGCATGATTTACCTAGGAGATGTCTTGGGGTATGCACCCTCGTCGGCCGCCGAACGAGCACGGGCCAATGCCGTGCTCCTCAATGCCATGGACTATATTGCCGAAGGCCGAGTCAGTTTTCATCCCGTCAAGAATACCATGAGTTACAACGATCAAAAGGAAGAAGGAGACAAGTCCTCCAAAGAGTGGTGTGAAAATCGAATGAAAAATTTCCTCTATCATTTCAACAAAGTAGTGGCCGGACAGAATGGTGGTGGCAAGGCTCCTGTGGCAGGAGGACCCAATGTGACCTATGCCGGTAAGGCTTGTTCTGTGTCTGTCTAGACACTCGAAAACGATATGATCAACCCACTCGCTCACCATCCTCACCACTCTACTACTACTAGATTTTGCACTCTTTCATGTGCTGGATGCCACTGTTTCTCAATTCAATAACGAGAAATACGGTCATGCGTGGGACAAGTTTGACGGGACAGCTTTGAAGGAATACTACCTCTGGATGAAGGAACGTCCCAATCTGCAAGCATACTTCCAATCGGACCGATGCACACGTGAGTCTTGCAACTCTATAGCTTGGCCTACAGCTAGGCTGGTTTTGGGTTTCAAATCAGATGTTAGGCGCTTGTAAGGTAGTTTCTGACTACATTTTTTTTTGCTTGCTATTCCGCGCAGCATTCGCTGGAGACAGCATGATGTAACCAAGATCCCATCCATCACATCAAATGGACGGAGACAAAGTTTTGTCTAGCCTGCGTTTGGGATTACCATCACCAGATAGATGTAATGTGCTCTCTGACTAGCTACACTCGTTTTTTTCCCGCAGCCTCGTTTTTTTTCGCCGCCTTTGCTGGGCATGTCATGATGTAGCAGGTCTTCTCGTGATTCATCAAATGGATAGTGACAGAGGAAAGAGCAATGAGTCAATGTCGACACTCCTGGGTTAGAAGGAAGAGTGAAGTTGTTGCGTTTAGCTAGCTTGGGAACTGGAGGAGTAGGGAGAAGGAGAGTGAATTGTTGGGTTAGCTCGCGTAGTGTGTAGCGTCGGCATGCTGCCGACCTTGAAACCAAACAAGTTTTGCTATTGCATCATGTCTTGCACCAGACTTTGGAGGTTAAAAACAGGTTTCTGCGATGCCAGTCGACGACACCGTGGATTCACCAGATAGGCCATTGGGATGTTACACACCCTGGGACGCCTTATACTGGCCATGTCATTTTTAAGATCAACTGCATTGGTGGCAATTTCGCTTTTCTTGGGTGTCACTGTTTCAACCTGCTTCTGCACTGTTTTGGGAGGAGTTGGCGGAGGCTCGGGCGCTTCGAAAGCAACTACAGGATCTGGCGCGGGTTTTGGCTGTGGTTTGGGTTTTGGCTGTGGCTTGGGTTCAGGCTTCGGTATCTCTGCTTTCGGTACTGTTGGTTGTTTATTGTTGGGCTTGTTTGCCCTCCTGGTCTTCTTGGAGTTTTCTTTCAGCAGCTTCTCGCTGGATTCTTCGACCGGAACAAACATGCCAGCTGCACTTCCCAAAAGAGCATCCAAAACAGAGACATCTATTTCCACATACTCCTGAATAGTGAAATCAGGGTGGTATGCCTTGTATGTTATCCCCGAGACGCAAATGGCTACTGTTGCGACGACCACAGCGACAATTCCTCGCCTCCGTAGTTTGGCCCGGCGATTGCCTTCCCTTCGCAATTTCTGACGGTATTCTGCTAGCCGCGTTGACTGACGTCGGAACGATTCGGGCCTCACTTCATGTGCCTCCAAGAGAGTTGCTGGTTGCACTTGATCGTCCATGATGCTGCTTGAAACTGAAACGTCCATGATGCTGCTTTCAGTAAGGGCAAAGGAACACTGTTTACACCTTTAGACACAAATTCGGAAGTGGCGCTGCCAAACATCATCATCATCGTCAAACCTTCCCACGAGAAGATCCTGTTGTCTTCAACTTGCCAATCATCGCAAAGCACAAGGTCTGATGTCAGGGGCCTCAGGGGTACGGTTGTGGAGTGTGACTCAACAGTGACTCAAATCATTCTCATGACTGGGCACCACAGGACTAACACTGGACTAACATACTGTACATATCGTGCCCAATCCATCAAATCAGAACAAGCAGCCGGAGGCTGATGCCCTCAACTGTCAAAAAGAGATTTGATTGGTCAAATCATTCACTGTGTTCAACTGGACACATTATTGATAGCAAGTCTCCATAGCCAGCCAGTACGGGCACAGTGGTATCGGTACCCATGGGTCCAGAGTACTGTGTCCAACAGAACACACAATATAAATCCCTATCCTTAACAAGGAAAATGTCCCTTATGTCTTTGGCAAAACCTCCACCGTGTTTATCTGGACACACTAGCGAGTCTGAATAGCCAGCCAGAACTGGTAACCATCGTAAGAAAAACTACGGTGTCCAACAGAACACACTATATTAATCCCTATCCTTAACGAACGACGAAAACAGCTGCAACAAAACACACAAAACACACACAGCACACATACACATCGGCGATAGAACAAGCAGCCGGAGGTTGATGCCCTCAACTGTCAAAAAGAGATTTGTTTGGTCAAATCATTTACCTTGTTCAACTGGACACACTACTGAAGACAGTCTCCATAGCCAGCCAGTACGGGCACAGTGGAATCGATA